AGGAAGGAAGGAAGGAAGGAAGGAAGGAAGGAAGGAAGGAAGGAAGGAAGGAAGGAAGGAAGGAACTTCTCTAACTTCATAGAGCAGAGCTACACTATGGGCATAAACATAAATATTGAAATGAGAAGGCACTTTGACAAGCACAACATGTCCATTTAGGAAAACATCAGTGGTAGCTTCCTCAGTAGGGCACATGACTCCCCAAGTCATGATCTTTTGGTTAGGTTTACCATACCAGGCCTCAAATCCATAAGGGTCAATCCAGTAGTGTGCCCGTGGGCACATATTACCAGGAGAGTCTATTGTAGCATACAAGGTCCAGAGCTGGGAAGGCTGCTGATACATTTCATCCTCCAGCAGCCTGCATAGTGAAGAGGGGCCAGCAGAAGGGAAGCTTCCAGCTCAGATCCAACTTGACTGCTCCATGTCCTACAACCACATATGTGCTCAGCTTCAGCAACAGGGTCTCACCATCTAGTTCTCAGGAGCACCAAGAGCAGGAGAAATAGCCTGCATTGTTTTGGGGTTCTCGTGGTCTTCTGTGACCACCCTGACCAAAAATACGAAGTTTCTAAGTTCCTGCTTTTGGAGACTCAGAATTGGTTTGTTGTGGTGTAGTGGGGGAACTTATGAGGCAGAATTATCCCCAATTTCCCGGAAAGATTCTTATAAAATTTTATGTACCTGGGAAACAAAAAGCTGAATATAATAGGTTTTCCATTTTGCAAACAGGAAAAGTCCCCTAGAGCCTTTTGAAGATGGAGGCATAAACTATACTGTGGGAGGAAAAGATCTGGTTGGAGCCTTATCTTGAGAAAACTCTAATAATTTTGGGAAATGAATTTAGCTTATACTTAATATATTTTAGAATTACATTTGTAACTATGTATCAATTCTGATAAATTGTGTTCATTTGAGGAGTATAATTTGTTAATATTTTAATCAAGTCTATGTGAAATTCTACATTTTTCCAAACTTTCAATAAATTTCTGTTGTTATTTGGGAGCTTGGTATTTCCAAACAAATGACTTTGACACAGGTGAGTTAAAAAAACAGACAATTTAAATAGAACAGTTTCACAAGTTCTTATCACTGGATGCTTAAAAGACTTGCTTAAGAAGTGTTTTAATAGGCTGGGCAGTGGTGGCGCTCGCCTTTGATCCCAGCACTGGGGAGGCAGAGGCAGGCGGATCTCTGCGAGTTCGAGGCCAGCCTGGTCTACGGAACTGAGTTCCAGGACAGCCAGGGCTGCACAGAGAAATCCTGTCTTGGAAAAGGAAATGTTTTAATAGAATTTACTGAAATATATTACACATGTATTTGTGTTTGACTGGAAGTCAGAGTGAGTTGGTGAAGTGGGAGTTAAGTTACTCTGTGCTGGGCTGGTTGCATTAATTACGTTCCTGTCACTGGGATAAAAACGCCCTCATAAAAGCAGCTGAGGGAAGGACGGGCTCCCT